TCGGCTGTAGGTTTTATGCCTGTTCCACAGGCGAAAGATAGGATCACTGTCGCCGCTAACTCGTCCGGATCAATATCCATCTTTTTGACATTGTACACTGAATAATAATAAGTTTATCACAGGAGTTCTACACATGATACGGCACGGCGATAAAGCTTTAACAAGAATACTAGAAAGGAATGTCTCTACCATAGATCTATGGATAATGAAGTAGCCAGATGGGAAAATTTCAATGAAGTTGAGTCTACGGGCAGATTTAAGTAAGCCCGTATGAAAGTTGGAAAGTCGGTAATCTAAAAGACCAGGGCTATTAGTCATGCTGCACAAAATCACCAGTAAGTTCAACACAATAAGGCGGGAAAGGGTTAACTACAAGCTGGTTGAGCTCTGGCTGCTTACATTTAACATACTATTAGTTTTTACTAAAAGGTCACGAAACCTTAGTTGTGACCCAGTTACATGTGAATGTTGCTAAGTATTATGCTTGACGTTCCCAAATTGTGTTGAACTTCCAGGTAACCTTACAAGAAAACTCTGAGTAAAGGAAGCCGCTATGATCAGAAAAATCTCACAAATCACCAAAAACTTCGCAAACGAAAACTCCGCAAAATGTACCCATATAGAAAGCCTGCACATGAGCGAGTCATCGATATCTAATCAATATAGAAGAAAGTTTTGAAGACAGACTTCGCGATGATCAAATGGGCGGAGAATCACGGCCACTGAGTCTTTTTCATTGGTGCGCCCATCCTTCTGATACGATGAAGGACGGAAACGTGTAAAAGGGAATGCATAATGTTGATGAGTATTCGCCTATCTGATGATCGCGGACTGTTTCTTCAAGACAAACTCGTTCTCATAGAGAAAAAGCAAATCTATTGCCTAGGTTAAAATAGTAAGCGGCTCCTGCTATTCCAACTGCTGCAACCATCGTGATAGCGTATCTCGAGACTGGTGCCCATCTTCGATTGATTGCTCGGGCCTTAATCTAAAGTTGACCGGGGCTCTGCACTCTGGTAGCCTTTTACAGCTCAAATGAATTCATGAAAGTATGCAGGAACCAAACTTACGCGCTGCCTGTACAGCCGGGAGAACTCTGTTTTCAGAGCGAGTGGTGGCATAAGTGAAGCGAGATATAATGAATCCGACAAAATGGCTTTTTCAGAGCGAGTGGTGGCATAAGTGAAGCGAGATATAATGAATCCGACAAAATGGCATCCAAGTGGATCTCGTTTGGCATATTCATAAGAAGTTGATGAATAATTGGCATCTCCCTGTAAAGAGAAGAAGTCACCATACTGAAACTATGGAATGGTTACAAACATTCACAAAAAAAGGGAATTGGTACAGTCAAGGAGCCCACGGCTGTGCGAAACGAAAGTAATTCGCCACTGGGGAGGAAGCTGTATTTGACCTCTTTTGTTGGATTCGTTTTACGCGCGCTAGGGGCAGAGATGGTGCAGAAACAGAAGCGCCGCCTACCATGCTCACGGTAGAACCCGCCGATGCCCGAATAAGATATCTGCTGGTTGTGAGTATTGTAAGAAAGAGACACCGTATGTTGACAAGAGAACCATACTATCGTATGGCGAAAGTGCATAGAAATGGTCGAGACCTTGGACTGCTACACACCTTATACGCCGATGATGGGACATATGATAGAGGTGGAGAGAAGCTGTTTCACACGGGAGGGGCATTCACACTTCCGCTAGTTTCATTTGTTAGATCCTCTTAATTTGCAAGTCTAACCTTGGTGAAACTTGTAGACTCTTGTTAAAACTAAATGAAGCTATTACTGCTTAGCTTTACAGGAACTTACAGAGTTCCACATCAGGCGCCAGCAGAAATCGAGTAATCAGGATAATGTCCCCACTAAGCCGAATTGCCCCAGATGGAGATCATAAAAGTGGTAGAGGAAAAAGGGCCGCGTTCTAATCATGCAATTTCAAGCAGCGGGAGGGGGGGGGGCATTTTCTGAACGCGCTAACTGATCAAGATAGCCTTCACCCGCAGCTCGTTCTTTTGTTTTTTTTTTGTGGAGCAGGGTGAAACCTCGGTATTCTTGATCGCGTGATCCAACCTTTCGCTCACCTGCCGGCCAGTGAGCTCGATAAAACTGAGCTCCAGAAGCGGATCTGCGATGGTTTGCAAACACGGAAAACCTCCTAACCTCTAACCTCGATCCTTCTCAATTTGGCCTCATTGTTTCCCCAAGGCAACATGCCCAGGTACACCAAGAAACTTACCGTTCAGATGTTAGTATTGCTGATTTCCTCTTCAAAACCACTGCAGCACACACGTAGATAGGAGTCAATGGTGGGAGAGGCGAGAAACACATCGAAAAACCGTACAATCTAAATCGCGAACAGTTCGCCATTAGCTTTCTTTCAATGAGAAAACAAAAAATATTGGAGACGCTAGTTCAAGCATTCTCTACTATTTACATAAAAAGCAAAATCAACGCCCTCCCGACTTAAAGTACCGAACGAGAATGAAAACTGATTGCAAATCTTATTCAAGAAACCCTAACGGCACACAGTGAGACATGGAAGAACTCGTGAGTCACATGAAAATTAGGGTACAATGACCTTTCACTTCACCTTTTGCTTTGTCGTCAGCCTGGAGCTGGGCTGTTAGGGTAAGGGAATACCTGACATCCAAAAAATAAAGCTTCAGGTACCACAGTCCACAAAGGCAACAACTACACCACTTTCGCGGCGCAAAACGAGTGAGGAGGCCCACGATGCCGTCGTTCTTCTCATTGGCCCAACCTACAATCATTGGCACCGCCCTCCATTCATTCCTAATGGTTATCTGATGGTGCGGTTGTTTCGCTGCTGCTTCTCTCCACGTCGAGTGGTGAGAGTGAGGTGATAAGGGAAAACAGCTGATATCAACAAGTGAGAACTCGTGCGACCGCACCTTCTCTTCGCCTTGAGCACGTACAACCTCAATTAAGCAAGGGGTTCTATATAGAGCCTTTCCTATGATTTCTTTCTGATTTTTCTTCACTAAGGGGTTACTTGCTACCTTGTTATAAGTATTTGAGCCGCATAACTCATCAAATTTGAATGCGGGCTCAGCCTTTAAGCATCCGCCCTACACATTCGAGTACTAGGCCACAGATCACTCGTTGCTGATGCCTTTCGGTCCGTCCTCGAATCATTTAGCTATTATTTCTCAGTTGTGGTGGATTTGAGCATGGTTTCCCCTATTGTTGGTTTTACTAGATCTTGTTTCTTCCTTGAATTCGAATATATGCCACTTGATGGTGCTTACAAGGGTCCCTGTTTGTGGCTACCGACCTTCTGGTGACTGACCAACGTACAAATAAAATAAATAAACAAATAAATAAATAAATAAAACACCTGCTGATAATGATTGAGCGAGTGGCTGAACCATGTAAGTGGCCAGCTCAGAGCAAACATAGTACCCAAATGTACTTCTCGCAGAACTCGTTCTAATTGTGGGTCTGCTCTGGACAATATCACATACCTGAAAACATTTTTGGAAATGAATGTACTGGTTTTGAGCAATTAGTCAATTCCATTTCCTATAGGACATGTTGCTGCCAACAAGGACAGAGAAGAACCTGAGCTCACAAGAAGTAAAAAATGTGAAAAACAACTCAGCCACAATGAGGAAAAGGTTCCTTTTATGCTCAGACAGGACATACCATGTTGTGGAAACTTTTTGCAGTGTAGGACCTGCGGCCAACCCATACTGCTCTTCTGGTACAACCCCCTTTCCCATCTTATCTGCCATCTTTCCAACTTTTCCCAAAACTTTTTGGCGTCGAGAAGCTGGGAGGGGAGTTAACATTTCCGATCAGCTATAAAAATAGTGAGCCCCAATTAGGAGGCACTCGGGGCAAGGGGTATGGCGCGAGTGAAACGGATCGATCAACAATAACGAAAATTTCTTGCAGCAGTATGCATCCTCTTCCTTTACAGCGACCGAATACGACCCACTGTTGTATTTTATGCGCCACCCTGCATCCAAAGACTTACGGCTCCACGTTGAAAGAAGAGACAGAAATACGTCGCTTAGCCCCTAGCCAGTCTCCGCCGGAACCAGTCAACACATGCTCACATTTGATGCGGTCTTGCCCAGTGAACCTCTGAGTTCACCTCTCGCGCCCGCATCGTGCTACGAATACAATTTACATCTGGCCACCACTCCTGCCCTTCAAGGAATTACATATTTTTCCCTCTTCCCCTCTCGTTTATGGAAAGGAAAAAAGCAAGCTGTGACAATAAAAGGATAAAGAATAAAGTCTTCGCCGCTAATCAATCCTTGGTGGGATGCGGCACGCATTCTACTTCCATTCAGAATCGTAGTGGCTTATTGAATGCGATGTGGCCTATACAATGACTTGCGGTGGCCAGCCGATGTACAAGTCAGTGTTTTATCCTCCCAGACGAATCTGGTACCAATTTACCGTCCTCGGAGGAATTTTGAATTTATTTCAAATTTCAATCAAATCCATAATGACAAATAAAACTTACAGTAGTTCTAACTCCTTTAGTACGCTCTTCTCTAAACTCTTCAACAAATAACTCCGAAATGGTCCGTGAGTAGCAAGGTTCTTGCATACTTCATAGGCGACATCCTTTCCACATACCAATATAACCGTTAAGCAAACATCGTGGAAGCCTTTGAAATTAATGCAGTACTTTACAGTAAGCCGTAGCAACACTAACCATAAGTCCTTACCTTGATAATACCGAAATCGCGGATTACTGCGCAAAACTCGAACAATCAAAGGAATGAGCTGATCCTGAAGAGTTGTTCGTTTTTCGTCCGATATGTTAGGAGGGAACCTTGCCAACGTCCTGTGAACATCGAGTGCAACCTGAACTCTGAACTAGTTAATCCTCAAGAAAACAATCTCCATAAAAATTGCGGAGCCGAGGCAGCATTCGTCAATCGCGTCTGGGCAATTCTCAAGTAGGGCGATTTGGCAGTAAAACATTTTACAAAGTACGAGAGCGACCTCACGTACTGCGTGGGGATCGCCAGATGGAGCAGACTGAGCTGCGGCGACTTCGATCGTGAACGCTATTTTAAGACAGCGCTCACATCAGAAGAACGCGAATAGGGAGTACAGAAGAATCAAGGAGGAGATTGGGCGCGAAAGGAAAGTATAGGCATTGATAAAGGGTTTTCCGAGTGCCATAGGAGATTAGAATCGTGGAATCGATGTTTTAGGAGGGAGCGCGCACAAGGCCTGCACAAGTACCAATCAGTGCAGGCCGTCAGAGTTTTGGAAGAGAAAGCAAATCGGCATTCGGGGAAAAAGAGAACCAACATCCTCTAAAAGGTGCGATCCTCCCAGCTTAACAAAACGCCAAATCTATACTTATGACTCCCTTTGGTGCACATTCTCCTGTTCCCACGAGGCGCGCTAGCTCCTATAGCAGCGCAGACGAGCAGCCCTAGTCGCGCCGTCGCGTCAGGGCACCTCCTGCTGTTAGGAGAAATTTTAGTGAGATACGACAACCCCCGGCAACCTCTTCCTTTGGTACGACTCCCCCATCCTAATTATGTATCTTCCCATTTCTCCCCAGCTTTCTACCAACTTTCCAGAGGATCTCCAGCTATTCCGGAAAAGCTACCGTCGAGCGGAGTGAAGGGAGGAGGAGGGGGGGGGGGGGAATATAACGCATTTGAAACGAAAAAAAAACCAAAAGAAAACATTTTCTTGAAGGTACACTACCACTCTTTCAAGCGATTAGGCGAAAAACTGTTAATGTTAACAAAAAAAAAACGCCCGAATGAGAACAATTATGGCATACCTGATTCCACTCTGGATGTGATCTCAGTTCTTCTTCATCTTCTGATTCGTGCTGAAATCAAGGCATCAAACGGAGAAATGGAACGAGAGAAACTAGTTTATAATAAAAAGGTAACCACTGAACCAACTTACAGTTGTGTCTTGAGTCGACGATGACTTCACCGAAATGGAATCAGAAACAGATGAAATTGAATCATAATCAATATCTTCGTCTTCATCAGACTGTACAAGTCGTCGGGCCAGTACTGGCCATATTTTGGCACGGTACTCGTCGAGTACGAGCCCTCCATTCGAGCGCGCGAAACATCTTAGTTCGCCTGAATACGGCAAGAAATCACAAACCAGCAGCCACATCGTCACTAACTAAGCGCTGAATCAAAGTGCATCATGCATAAGAACAATTTAGGTCTTTGCAGAATCATATCCATGATATGACACTTGCCGTGAGCGCGAACCAGAGCCGCAATTACGCCGCGCCTATCCATTAAGTGAAGCTGTTATTAGATAACAGAGCGCATATGTTTATGAGCCAAGGTGGGATACTAGCGTTGATGGAGGAGGGGGGGGGAGGCATGACAGACTACGCCCACTCTACGTTGATTCCACTGTCCGAAGCTAAGGATGATGTGATCACCAGGCAGGTCGGAAACGCAGATGAACAGGGGAATATAAAATGGCCTAGGTCCAATTCCATATTAAGCGCCCCTTTCCCCAACTAAACTAGCGCTAAAAACTGTGAATCAGGTGACGGGAACAACTTCTTGAATGGCATGGGCATCAAAAAAAGCAAAAAACGAATAATGAGCGAAAATGAAAGGCTGCGTTCACAGTTTGCGGTCATCGTTTTGAGCAAACGCCAACGTTTTCGACGACTGCCCACGATAAGTTCCAAACTACCCGCGAAAGGCTCAAAGCACTGGCCGCTCAAAACGTTGACGCAAAGTATGAACGCACCTAACGGAAAAGGTGGAAAACAATGGGATGGACTTACTGATGTAGTTTCCGAGATCCTCATTAGCATGATCCTTCAGGAACCTATCGATCTCTTCTCGCTTAGTTTTAAACAGTTATACCGCGCCGTAGCTAGAACCCTTGACTGAAACAATTCACTGTAAGTAGTTCACCAATCGTTGCGAAAAAGTAAAGTACCCGCGAAATGTTCAAAGCACTGGGGTACGCTCAAAACGCTGGCGCAACGGTCATAGTAAAAATCGCAGTTGTTCGGGGAATAAAGAAAGAAAAGCAAATTAAAAGGGAATAAAAAGAAAACCAACCTTTCCCTAGAAGTTTCAAGTTGTTAATGTCGTCACATGAACTCGTCTCTAATTGTGTACACAAGTAATCGACCTCATGTATGGGAGTAGGCGGTTCCGAGTATGATGGCATTTATTTGCCTAAAAAACAACCGGTTTACAAGTTTAATCCGAGCGAAAATGCGAGACACATTTCGAGATATTTTGCACGGGCTTTCAGGGTAATAGAAAAAAAATCAGACATAGTTGAGAGGGGAAGAGATTACACTGACGCGCCTGAAGTGACGTTCATTCCGGGTAGGATAACTCGTCCGAATCACTAATCTGCTAGGTTTTCATGAACCTGCTGCGTACATAAACAGTAAACAACGTGAGCTGGTGCTACTACTTCTCAGACGGGATCTCCCAATCTGGGAT